CAACTGTTTTTGGTTAATCAAGTGTAGATAATTAGAGATGATTAAAGGCACATAGATCAATTAGTTTGCAACTTTTGTCACATAAATCTCCAAAATCTTAGACTCCTTTCATATTCAACGACTTGAATAACAATTTTATTACAACCTCAATAGATGAAGCACTTTGTTAGGGCTCATTAACATCTTCATCAGTTTGTATGTGAATATATTATTCATTATCCTGGCTCACGGGTATATCAATATCTCCTATTTCTCTTCCCTAATTCAAACTAAATAAGAGCGTAGAATTTTTTGCACTAAGCTGAATTGATTCATATTCAACTATCTAATTATAAGAAACTGCTTTTGCAATTTGACAGCACAAAGCTTAAACCAATAGAGGATGGACTCGTCTTTCTTCATCTTCAATGCATCTTCTCCTCTGCTTTCTTCTCAATTAAACCATTACGACAAAATGTGTGGTGTTCTATTTCTCTTGGACAACTCTAGTTGGGAGAGGCTGTTGAGAACTAGGTACAATAAACTTAGAAAACTCTTCCTCATAAGCTTTGCACTAATTTAGGGTTCATAATCACCTTAAAAAATAAGTCGATGTAACATTTAAAGTTAATTTCCATTATTAATCAACCTAAATTACCATTAAAAATACATCTGTGAATATGACTTTATCCTTATTAGCTGAAATAATTAAAAAATCATTACTTGTGAGCAATTTGGTGGTCTTTCAACTCAGTATGCCGGGGTTTCATTCATATAAATTTACTGCAACTCTTCCTCATTTTTAGAATGGCTTCATAAGCCCACTCAGAAATGAGATGATAAATTCATTGACAGTATATTGAATTAAAGCTTTGTTCCCATCTTCTTTTCCACCTTAAGGGCATTCCTCCTAATGTGGGACATGTCATTGTTCATCCCTCTTAATGTCTTCTCATTTTTAAGGACGAGCCAAATAAAAAAATAAAGTACAAACCCAACTTCAAACATATTATCCAACAGTACACTCCAACAAGGCATTTTTCAAAGTTTAAATCCTTATGATTGTTGTTAACTTAAAAGAAATTCTAAATAAGCCTTATGCTCCAAGCCATCTTTTCAAACTTAGCACCAAGAAATTCACCAAAATTCTAGTTCAATGATTAGACAAAATTCAACAATATTAAAACTAATATTCTCATCTCCCACTTTGAAGACAAAGGAGTCATAATTATTCTCTTCATCATTGAACTTCCTTGCAAGATTAACTAATTACTTAGGGACCAAAGAACTACAACTAATGAACATTAAAAAACAATTTAAAGGGAGAATGTTTGGCCCTCTCAAAAGGATCATAAGCTTCAAATTGCTTAATTAATTCACCCATCACCACGCCGACTCCATATGTGACCTTGTTAATTTGAAGCTTGTAGTATAGGAATAAGCATGTTCAAAACTCATTCAAAGATTATTTTTGAACTAGAATTCTATCCTAAAGTTTCAAGTTATATTAATCAAACCTAGCTTTTCAACCCTACGTGAGGTTGCTTGAAGCTTTAAAATAGAGGTGAGATGATGAGAAGAGTGGCCGCAAATCAGACAAGCTAAAACATCGCAAGAGACAATGCTTGGAAATGAAGTTCGACTTGTGGTCTTATTTGAAAGTTAGCACTGAAATTAGCATTCCTCACAAGTCATTACATGGATAATTTTATCCAAAACAAACTTTCTTGAACATATTTATATAATGAAAAATTTGACTTTATATCCCTCCTAATTACACCTATTTGGGAAAATTCCTCATCATATATTAATTTGAGTAAATAACACTACGATGTGAATAGAACTGAAATACACTTAATAAAAGAAAATATCTTGTATTGGCAAACTACTCATTGGAGTCTTATGTCTTTCAAAACTGGCTAAAAATGGATCCAAACCAAATTTTGAATAGGTTCTAACCAAAATCAAGCAACGGACGAGGTGTGACGCACTCAGGCAGAGGAAGTAGGGAGGCATGCTCAAGAAATGCGCCCTTCTAAACGGGACTAGAAGCGGCCAGTATCGGTCTACTTATAAGAATTTCATCTCAAATCTCTATTTTACTCTTCCATCAAAAAAAGAAAAAAAAAAATAGAGATAGAAAGAGCGATGTGACATGCAAAGCTAGAGAAAAAGAATATTGAAAGAACTCCAAAGCATGTCGAGTCACTAATATGAAAAGCATGAGAAGTTTCAAGAAGAAAAAGGCCGGTGAATCTTTGTCCACTATGGCATATGTGGGCATGCTTGTTACTTATCACTCAAACTCAAAACCATTCAATTTTGCTCAAAACATGGCATGTTATAAAGTTCCACTAGATCAGACAATAACTCCATTTTAATCTATCAGAAAAGGGGTGACTACATTAATAACGCAAATGACAACATTAGCTAACAATCCCTTGCCTTCAAGTATATTATATTTCTTTTTAGTAGGTTCAAAAAATAGTTGACAACGATATATATCAAACTAAATAAGGTGAAGATTAGGTCTTGCTTTCTCTGAACCTCCTCCGATAAAAAATCTATTTAAAATTTCCTCCAATGAAAAATCTAATAGACATCTCCCCGATGGGAATCTAATTTCTTCTTCACAAGAGAATTAAATAGTATTTTTCTTCCAATTGAAATCTCATCAGAAGAGAACCAAAGAGATTCTCTTTGGAGACCTCATTCAAATCCTCATTAAAAGAGAATTCAACAAAACTATTATTAAAGGAGAATTGAAAGAAACATTATCTCTCCCATGCCTCATTTAATTTGATGTTCATAGCCGCCAACTTCTCTTGGAACAGCCAAAAAGAAGACATCTGAAGGTAAGATTGTGTTTGCTAATAATGATGACCCTTCATTTATGCAACTACTCTTCAGTAATCAACAAAAAAACAAAGTAGCTTTGCATGATTAAAGGAAATTCCAAAAACGTCCTGTTCTGGAAAGAATTGGAATTTGTTAAGCATTGATAATAAGTCCACGTTACAGAAAATGGAGAGTGCATACTTCTTCAAGCTCTTCATTCTGCGATGAGCTCAAAAGTTCTCTTGATATTTTATCTGTAATTTCGCATGCGCCACAATTTCTTGTAATTAAAAGATACCCGAATTTAACAAACCACAAAGGGAAAGCAAATATTATTACTGGCTTACAAAATCTTAAATTACAACATTACAATTGGGAAATCTGATATTGCAACAAAACAACACACATTCAAATTAGGGTAGGATATAGGGTGGAGGTGGTGCCGACTAGGGGTTTGGACCTCCGGGAAGGTTGCAAGGGGGTCGGCTAGAAAGCTTAAAGGTTGAAGTGATAGGAAAAGTGAAACCAGCAAGGGAAGGCAGCGAACAGCAAGAACAGCGGTGGGAAGTGCTGTTCAAGGTGGCGGCAACAAGGAAAACAGGGAAAGGACGTGAAACGTGCGAGAAATGTAGGGAGAAAGGTGTAAAAAGGATAAACACAACCTGGAGACTAAGATATAACCAGACCCGTACAGAAAAAGAGAGTCCGATGGCTGTCCTAATAAAAATACAACAAAAACTAAATCCTAAACGCTAACAAAACAAATATATTGTCATAGATAACTAGGAGTGGGCCCCATTCTAATTGAGTGGAAATCCCTAAGCCTAGAGAGCCAGTTGACCCTCAATTTCCCTTGGATCGAACTGGTCCGGACGTCCCAGACACCCCGAGTCCCAACATTCGTGCCTTGCATCATTAAAAAAAAAAATAGAAAATAGAAAATAGAGATACCCTTATGAGTAGACCCATGACAATTGTAAACCCGCCATGACTCAACTGCTCTCCCTTACATGACTCATGTTTGTCACACACTCCTTGCCGCGCAACTCCTTCCGCCGTGCTCTTGAATCGAACAATTTTAATACTCAATTTGAATTTGAATCAAACCTTATTTCAAATCAGGTTTAAAACAAATTTGAATCAAACTCAAACACAAGTTCAAATCAAGTTTGAACAAATTTTGAAGCAGTTGCAATTCCGATAGAGAGCTAACACATAAAGCATTTCAATAGATATCTGCACAAATAAATATATATAAAAGGGGTGTTTGCGCTCCCTACAAGTAAAAAAATTCTCAAATTGAAATTTACAAATCAACACGGAAGTAGTAGAACTTAATTTCAAAATGAAAACATATTTAATGCAATAATTTTGACACCATATTTCATTAAAATTCTTGATCCGCTTTTTCACACATCTCTTATTAAATTGGTCAACTGAAAATCACATTATTAATATTTTTTTTTTATTTCAAAATGCACATCACAGTACCTAATATGTGTTTCACATTATTCAAATAAATAATTTCAAAACCGAGAAAAGCACCAAATATTTTTTCAAAATAACAAAACTATACATTGGTTTAATTTTAAAGAAGCTAGATATTCACTCTCGTTGCTGTTTAATATATAATATATAAATAAACTATTTATTACTTTTTTTAGTGGTTAAATACAAGGCTTCCCCTAGGAATAAAAATGGGCAAAAGCCAGTCACACAGCACTACCAGATGTAATTTGTAGGTCCTAACATGCAAAAGTAGTCACACGGTCGCTGCTATCATAATTTGTAGACCCTTACCACTAGAGCAAAACTTAATTGATTAAATTATTTATATTTAAGCAGAATATCAAACAAATATTCAAATAAGATGAAAAGCTAAAGCTTTGCGGTGTGCAACAATTCATTGTAAAAGGAAACACAAGAAAACAAACAACAACGATCACTTAAATTATCACTGGGAATTAATAGTGAATGTGTATGTATAAAGCTCAAAGACTTGCATACCAACACCTTTTCATGGAATAGTTACATCAATGTTAGAACAAGTTACAAGTGAGTTGAGGTTTCCAGGAAATAAAATAGCACTGCCAAAGAAAACTCAGGTCATGCAGATATGTGCACAAGACAGTTTTAAATCAGTTCTAATCTAACAATATGATAAAAAAGATGATCCTTCAAACCTGGCTAATTGAGCAAGTACCACGAATTAGATCAAGGTCTGCATGTCGGGCAAAACCATTTCCCTTTGAATCTAGTCTCAGGAGTCAGTCCCACACATGAATAGTGGAACCATTCGCCTCCCTCGCACTGTCGATGAAACATGCAAGTACAGTTAAGCAGATAAAGTCAGCTCAATTCAAATGTATCGAAAATAATTGCTAAATCTAACATCAATAAAAATAAAAAATAAAAAACAAAAATGTTCAGAAGATGGACATCTGCCGGCACAATTTCGACTGGGCCACTATGTTGACAAGATATAGCGCTGTTAAGCTTAGTACTGCATTTAAGAGACTGTATGGGTCATGGGAAGTTGCTTACTTGACTAGTCCAGGATTAGATCTTAATTTGAGCCTTTGTTAATGACATGTGTGGATGTAAGAACTAAAGATGAGTTGAACCTATCTAAGGGTCTGTTCGTGACGGTTACAGTTGCCTGAAGAAGCAGCTGTGAAGTTACTGCCAAGAGAAGTTATTGTGAAGCTATTGTAGTATGTTTGGATAGTTCAACTACGAAACTGTTGTGCTGCAACTATTTCCAAAATAAAGACTAAAAAATCCATGCATAATGTAGTTGTAAGTGCACGATTTCAAAAACAATTCAAACAGAACACCATAACTAAACTTCAAAATATTATAAAAAGTCAGAAGTCATAAATATTTTATTAGAAGTATTGCATCATTTAACACTAAAAATAGCACAACTTCAAATTCATAATTTTGATGTGTTTACATATGAAACACCTAAAATACCACACAACTTCAAATCATACACTCATGTGAGACATTCATATAGCTAACAATAGATCCTACTCATCCACGAATTATAGGTAACATCAATTGCTGAATAAAATATCATCTCAACAATACATCCTCCCCGTCTCAACATTCAAATAGTCTCATTTTCGGACACACCGCGCAATTTTTAAATAATTACATATCAAATAGCTAAATATACCAAACCCACTCATCATTAGAAAATCATCTCAACAATAATATATGAGCAAAAAAAGGGCAACAACAACTCTCCATCCAAAACAAATGAAATTTTCACCAATAGCTAAACAGAAGGAATTTTTGGAACTACCTGTTGACCTCATTTTTGGTGAGGTCTCTTCCTTTTCTTAGAGCCTAAGATCTAGCCTTTAGGGTTTCCTACTGACTCTCTCAGAGAACTAGCCTGGGGCCCACACCGATTAGAAATTCGAGCCACTTCTTGACTCTTCGAAGTTTCATGTGACTGCTTCTAAAATCCTCAACGCTTAGTTGAGTTGTTTAGAACAAGCGCGACAAAACTCGAGTCGAGCACCCTTAAGATCTGAAACCATAGGAAAACCCATTGCGATCTCCGCACACTTGTAGGATGCACGAATACCACAGTGCACACAGCGACGCACACAATTATCAAAATTCACGTTTCTCGCACTCGTCGGAGGCTTTACAATCGATCACTTGCGATTATTTTAAAAATTTTGAATTTGATGCGTTTTCGACCCGACCGTCAATGAAATCGTCTGGACGATCCCGGATGACAAAACGGACCGAGTCGGAGCATCCGGAACGTCGATTTTAGTTAGGAATGACTCTCACTTCGATATGATTTTGTGCGCGAGCAAGAGGTGCGCAATTCGAGGATTTTTAAACATTATTTATACCTTGGGGAGAGTATGTTTGGCAATATATGACCGATGGGGTCTTTTATTACGGGGGAAATCCTTAATTTGCCGCGGGACTTGCCTGGTTCCGTCCCCAATTGGAGCCCAGACTCCTCTCGCTCGTGGCCCCTCTTAGCTCCGTCTCCAGTATTTAGCCCCAGTCGTGCCTTCCTTCGTGTTGGTCCACTTCCTTCGTGTAACGAGGAGTTGACTCTTCCCCCTCTTGACATCCTCTGCCCAAAAAATCTTCTCTTTCCAAAGCTTTCTGCTTCCTCTCGCTGCGTAGGAGCCCATTCGTGGTAAGTTGACTGGGTGTGTGTGTTCCCTGGGTCACGAATGGGGAAACTTCTCCTCCTTCTCGATCTTTCTTCATTGGGGCCTCGACCGCGACGTTTCTTTTTTTTTTTTTGTTGGGTGTTGTGCTTTGTCAAGAAAGGTCCCGCGAGCTCCTCTTTCTCGCTGACGTCGATAAAACTCGGTGGGGAGAGTTTTCTGTGAGGTCATGAAGCTTGAGGCCTAGGGAGGTTCTGCGGAAATTTCTTTTCGGCTAGGTGCTTGTGTGCTTGGAGTACAGGAGTGATGTGGCTCTGCTTGTGAACTTGAGGTTTAGGAGTGTCGTGGCTTTCTTTTGTTGATTACAGAAGCCCGAGCAAGGTATGTTTCCTTCATTCTGCTCTTCTTCCCTGCTCGACACATGTTGGAGACATTAAAATAGGGGAATGCTTGCATTTGGGGGGAAGGGGGGGTGTTATTTTGTTCCTGTTGACATTTAATGTTGGAATCATGGCTAGCTATTAGATTTTTTTTAACTTACCTCAGCTCAAATGTATATCGTTGGGTCTGTTTTAAATATTCCATGATACTTACCTAAGAATGTAGGCTAATGAAAGGCATGGTTTAATTTTTATGCATGCGTAAACTTCCGCCTTATGTTCTTATCATATATATGCTAGTACATTGGGGTTTGAGGGCTGTTTTAACCTCCTGGGCTGCGGTTTTCCTTGTTGCCTGGGTTTAACATGGAGTATTTCTGGGTTGTTTCAGCTCTATGGGTTGTGGTTTCCTTTGCTATATTGATTCAATAATGGAGCTTTTGAAGATTTCTTTTTTACTTCGGGGCTTTGTTTTGTGCTTCCTTATTGCCCTCCTACTCGAAACGTGTTCAGGTGGCTTTTAATTGATTTTGGGGCTCTTCGAGGTTTGGCTTCGGTGGCTCGGTTTTGCTTCCTGTTGTTCCCTCTATTTGAATATATGTTGGAATTATTTCTTGCTTTGAGCAACTATTTTAGTGGCTCGGTTTTGCTTATTGTTGTTCCCTCCATTTGAATATATGTTGGAATTATTTCTTACTTTGAGTAACTGTTTTAGTGGTTTGGTTTTGCTCCCTGTTACTCCTGTTCGAATATATGCTAGAATCTATTAAATATTTTGAGCAGTCGGTTTCAGGACTTGGTTTATTTCCTGTTGATGCCTCCCTATTTGAAATATATGTCGGATGAAAATTTGGTTTTCTTCTAAAGCAGGGAAGCTTGTTTTGGGCTTGGTTTTATTCTCTAGCTGCTTTTGGCAGTAAGTCTTCCTGTTGTGTTTCTTTTGATTGGTTTGGGCTTAGCTATCCCCTTTGCTGCTTCCCATAGTCGTGGGCCTTCCTGCTAGTTCCTGGGTGTGGGTGTGGGTGTGGGTGTGGGTGTGAGTTGGTATCTTCTCCTGGCGTCCCCTGGCCGCGGGCCTCCTTGTTGTGTTCTCCTGTTTGTGTTTCGTGTTAGCTGGTGGCTTCCTTTTAGCTGCTCCTACCTGTGAGCTTATGGTTGTTGGTTTGGGTTTGATGGTTCCTCTTGCTACTCCTACCCAGGAGCCTTTTGTGTTGGTTGGTTCCTTTGTGCACCCGCTTGGTGGCTCCTTACTGCCCTGGCCGTGTGCACCTATATGGGATTCGTTGAATGATGATGGGTTCATATGACATTGGAAGCTTTTGGTTTGAGGTGGAATTGAATGCTTTAATGTTGGTGAAATGGAACATTTTGATTCTCGTTATTTGGAAGAATTCAAATGCCCCCCCTTTCGAGGAATGATTTGTTAAATGTTTGGAGATATTTCAGGACCCAATTCTGCGGGCTGAATTGATTGCAATAAAAATAGACGAAAAAAAAGAAAAAAAAATCTTTTGATATTTGCGAAAAGTTTGGGGAATAGCTTAGAGGTCTCTAAATTGTGTCTTTCGGGTTTGTTCCAGGCTAGCATCGGGAAGCGTGCCTATCGCATTGCTCATTCGAGAAGTCCCATCAATTGGATGTTTTAGGCTAACCACCATATCGCTTTGGCTTTTCTTCCCTAAATTGATTTTGGAGGTGGGTTAGCCTTCTTTCTTTTTCATTTCTTGCTTTTTGGTTACTTTCCTTACTTTTTAGTTTGGGTTTTAAATGCTTATGTCCGATGCATAATTGTGCATGTATATAGTTCTAGCTATGTATGAAACCATCAAGCAATGTCGTAAGTTGGACGGTCGATTTGGGTATTAGGCATTGATAATAAAGGCATTCGGTGGTAGAGCGGAATAATATTTCATCCTACAATATCGGGACCCAATCCCGGGGCTCGGTAAAACGTAAGATGACGATATTATTCACCGACACTAAACTAGCAGGGCACCCTTGTCTTCTTAGATTGTTGGTGGTCATGGTCCGACGGTTCGATCGACTTGTGGACAATCATATTTTATAAAAATGATAAGAACATATACGATAATATTAGATACGTTGTTTTCTAAAGTATTTTTACTACCAAAATTGATATCACTTTTCTTATATACATAAAACCTATATGCATGCAAAAAGATAAATTTTAAATAATACAATTCGATTGTCCACTTGTCAATCGCCGATATTGGGCTAAGAAGTATCCTCCTAAGTTTGGTATAGTATGACACATTTCTAGTTGAATGTCAGGCTCTATACATACGGGTGACTGATAGTTGCCTTCGGAATCCTTCGAGAATACCTAATTCTGATCCTAGTCCGACCCGAATGCTTACAGTCTTCTTTCTTCGGATTTTTGGGTGTTTTCTCACGATTTCATCGAAATCGGATTTTTATGTATTTTCCTACGGTTTTATCGAAATCTTTGTAAAGCACTTGTGATTTTCTCTGAATTTTTCTTGAGTTTTTAACAGTTTTCTTCGAGTTACTTTAGGTCATTTGCCGCCTTTTCTCAAGTCCTTTCAGGAGCCGCCGTCTCATCATGTGTATATGTTTGTTTTACATTTATAGTGTTTACTTTTGCTACTGCACGTTTTCCTGCATATACACATAATTCATGCATGTAATACTATTGTTTACTGTTTAATGTATACTGTGTTCCGTTGCATGTTCCCATTTATAATTCATGTTGTTTCTACGGACTTGCAGAGGAATTTTAGGTTAGAGGTCAGTAGGA